GAGTACAATCACTGGTTTCATTCCTTGGTGGGTGGAAAGGTGGATAAAGGCAGAAGGATTTAATGTACTATGGGGAGTGTGTTTGCTATGGTCCTGGGGGTAATATGGTTTGGTGGTTTTGTTTTTCTAGTTATAAATATCTGGCTCAAAGTATTTACTTTTGATATTGAGATAAGCTTTCATTATTTGTGTGTACAAATTACCTCATAGAAAGATTTCCATTTAAGTCTACTGTTAAATTATTCACAGGAGATGATAGTTGGAAAACCTACTGTACCCTGTCCTAAGCTAAAGGCCCCTGTGGGTTGTCCGGGTGACTCATGCGGTAATCTGATGAGAGGCACACTTCACTGCTCCCAGCCCAGGCAGGGCCACTCAGAATGTGACACCATAGAGAGCAGTCCTCCTCTCTGCTCTATGTGGTTCTCTTTGCACCGTTGTCTCTGTTCACACGCCTTCTGTTTATGCGCCTCACTCCCAGTCAAACCAGCCAACCCCAGCAGCTCTCGCAATCCAGCCGTGTTTTCCCATTGATTTCTAACTGCAGGGTGCGGCCTCTCTTGTTCTCTTCTCTAGGTTTGACAGGGCAGGCAAACTACACATGGAAGTGAAAAGTCACAGTACTCATTTGTGGCCTGTGAGGCCAAGAAACTGATGGCACTTGAAATTAGTTCCTATTTTTGGCTGGCAGTTTACACAGATGGCAAGTAGAGCAATTACATGCCTGGTTGCATTGAAAGGTTTGTCTAATCCTATATCTTGTCCTCTTTAACACTTTTTATTAAGTCTCCAACTTTCATTTATGATAAACTCTTTTTTAAGGATGCAGTATATGTTGAAACATAAAATATTGTGTCTTATGGCAAGAATCTTCCAAACATATCAGTCTGTTCCTTTGACTCTTGGTAGAAGCACAAATAAATCTTTCCAAATTAATGGGCATTTGACTTAGGAATTCCCAAAGGAGATGATTCTAGAACTTCCTCTGGTAATTTATTCTGGTGCCTCCAGTTTTTATAGTTAACTTTTCCTTAATGTATTACTTACATCATTTCTGAAATATATAGAGTCATATAGAGTAATTTCTTGTCCCTTTGTCAGCAGTGACGGGTAAGTGACCCTCAAATGCAGAGAACTTAATATAAAAGATTCTATTGATCATAAACGTGGTGTAAAGATCCACCTGGGGGTCATTATGCAGGGTCTGCTCCTCCAGCCATTTCAACCCTGGGGCTTCCATCCTGCTGGTGAAGGAGATGGGTGCTGGCCAAAGGCAGCTGCGACAAAGCCCTTCCACAGAGGCTCTGCCTTTTATTCCGTGAGCCCTCATTAACTCCCACTAAACATGTAATTTAAACAAGCCTGTTTATTTGATTCCTAAGGCCTGAAGCTCAGCAGTGGCAAAGTGGTAGGAAGGGAGCAGTTATTGGCACATGGGATGACAGCAGAAGTTCGAATTTGACAGCCTGACAGTGAGAGGGGAGGGGGCAGTGCAGCGCGGTAAGGAAGGCGGATAAAATCTGTTCAGCACGTCTGTCCCACATGGGGACAAGGCAGTCTAATGTAGATTTTCTTGCGGAAAAATAGCTACATTAAGATGTTTTCATTAGTTTGAAGATTATAGCTGAAGTTACTTAAAAAAAAAAAATTACTGTAAAAGTAGGGATTTGTGGGTGGGGAGCGGTCGGTCATGTCTGTAATCCCAGCACTTTGGGAGGCTGAGGTGGGCGGATCACCTGACATCAGGAGTTTGAGACCAGCCTGACCAACATGGCAAAATCCCGTCTCTACTAAAAATACAAAAATTAGCCAGGCGCGGAGGCGCGTGCCTATAGTTCCACCTACTTGGGAGGCTGAGGCAAGAAAATTGCTTGAACCCAGGAGGCAAAGGTTGCAGTGAGCCAAGATCATGTGCTCCAGCCTGAGGGACAGAGTGAGATTCTGCCTCAAAATAAATAAATAAATAAACAAATGTAGGGATTTTCCATGGCAGGGTTATTGTGAAGATTTAGCAATAATATACACGAAGCGTGTGGTACAAAGTAGCCTTGGACCTACTGCCGGGAGGGGTGATTTGTATGGCTCTTGGGTTGATAACCCACATAACTAAAATGTAGGGCTCATCGTGGTTGCTAAACAAATATAGCTTGAGTCAATATAGTAGCTTCTTAAGAAGCCCACTTAGGATGTTCTCAGCTAATTAGAGTATATATCTAATATGCATAGTTAAAATCTAAATATTACCTACAAAGCTGATTTAACCCATTATATTCTCTTGACCAACAGGAACTCTGATCCAGTTGTAAAAGTAGTTAATTTATTTGACTTTCTTAGATAAATGAAGATTTACTAATCAAGGCCCAATATAACAGAAATATGCACTAGCCAGTAGACAGAGAACTGGTTATTATGCAAACGTATCCCTAGGCCTTATGATTTGTGGGTGCACGGTTTCTGGAAATCTGGCATAAGTGGGCACTTACTTTGAGGGAGAGTCATAAGTCTAGTCCCTGAATGGACTAGTTATTGTTTTTGGCTGCTTGGCAGGAAATGTTCCTTTAGCTTCTCCTATTAAACCTTTCCTTGATGTATACAGGGATGGGGGCACTAGAGGAAAACACACCAGTTACTAATGACACCAGTTCACCTTTGCTGCTGTATGTATGCACACTCCACGGAGGAAGATTTGAGGAAAGCGCTCAACAGCCCTTCTGGTAAATACAGAACAGCACTTGGGCCGGGCATGGTGGCTCACATCTGTAATCCCAGCACTTTGGGAGGCTGAGGCGGGTGGATCACCTGAGGTTAGGAGTTCGAGACCAGCCTGACCAACATGGAGAACCCCCATGTCTAGTAAAAATACAAAATTAGCTGGGTGTGGTGGCACATGCCTGTAATCCCAGCTACTCAGGAGGCTGAGGCAGGAGAATCACTTGTACCTGGGAGGCGGAGGTTGTGGTGAGCCGAGAGCGTGCCATTGCATTCCAGCCTGGGCAACAAGAGGGAAACTCCATCTCAAAAAAAACAAACAAAAAAAACCAAAAAAACAAAACAAACAAACAGCACAAGGTTTAAGCATATATATAATTTTTTATTTTTCTTATTTATTTATTTTTTGAGACAGGGTCTCATTCTGTTGCCCAGGCTAGAGTGCAGTGATGCAACCACAGCTCACTGAAGCCTCAATTTCCTGGGCTCAAGTGATCCTCCTCCCTCAGCCTCCTGAGTAGCTGGGACCCCAGGCAAGTACTAACATGCATGACTAATTTTTTTTTTTCTTTTTTTGGGGTATTATTTGTAGACACAGGGTTTTGCCATGTTTCCCAGGCTGGGCTTGAACTCCTGAGTTCAAACGATTCATCTACCTTGGTCTCCCAAAGTGCTGGGTTATAGACGTATGCCACCATGCCCAGCCAGATATTTTTAAATTAAAAATGCAGCCGCAGGATGTAGAGAGTAGGGAGAAGAGAATTGTGTTTATTGCTTGGGTTCCATGGATCCTTTGAGTGTGCACAGATGAGTGGCAGGGGGTCTCGTGCACCAATGAAATGGTAAACAGCATTTGGGACATTAATGGATTTTTCTGGTGAGATGGTCGTTTTTTACTTTTCCTTTTATATTTTGAGACTCTCAAAAAGTGCTTTCTACTCAGAAAGAAGAGAGTGGATGTTTGATGTTAGCCACTGGTGTTATGCACAAATATTTTACCTTTGCCTTTACAGTGGTAGTCAAAGTGGAGATGTTATTCCAATTAATAATTGAAATAGGCCCAGAGCACTTGGTGATATAGCAAGCATCCCGGGTAAGTGTGTGAATCTCTGATCCCAGTGGTGTCAGATGCAGCCTGGTCTTCATTACTGACTCCTCTCTGTGACATTGGGTATGAACCTACTTTCTCTGGGCCTGAGCTTTCCTATCTGAAAATCAAGGAGTTTAAACTATGTGATCTCAAGGACTCTTTTAGCTTTTAAACTGAGGCTGCTTTGTAGCTTCTCCCTTAGTAGTACCTGTTCTGTGTCATTATTTACATGGTATAATATGAACTGCCCATCCTAGGAACACTTTGTAGAACTTCTGACTATCTTCTACAAGTGTTGCTGTCCCAGTAAGCTTGTAGAGCCTTTTTCTTAAAATCTCAGTGAATTGGAGTAGATGTATGATGCAAAATCCTGCTTTTAAAATTTTTAATCAAAGTTTATTTTCTATTGCAGTTTGTTAGTTTTAATGTATTTGATCGATGCTGAGTAAAGCAAAGTGCTGCGGGACCGAGTTCTCTACTTGTTGCTTATTTGCTTTAGTCCAAATAACACTTGGGGGAAGGAGATGCCGACCCAAGTTTCTATGATGGAAAGTTGCAGGGACTTTGAACACCCCTAGGACTATGCAATTGCAGTAAGTTAGCCTTGGGTGAAATGCTACACCCAAATGCATTGCAAGGTATGGCTCTAGGTAGTTTGCAGAGGAGGCTCAGGGCTAGAGCCTGCAGCTAAGTGCCACTAGCATAGCTCTCTGATGACTCTGTGATAGGATGATCATTCAAGATTGGAGAGGAATAACCCCCAGGGGCTCCCAGTGATAGGGCAGAGGAGAATCCTCAGTCCCACACTCTGGCTGCTGGTGACAGGCAGGAGTAACAGTAACAGGTACAATAATGGCTGCATTTCATCTTTGCTGGAAGCTGGGGTCCATTATATTCTCTTTGGAAGTATGTTTCCTTAAATGATGGACATTCCTAAATACATCTAGGAATGTTGGATGTATCTATATCTATATACTGTGTTAAGCCCCTTCTCAAAATTGTAGTTTCAGAAGTATGGTTTGATAATTAATAATCAAGTTCTTTTTCTTTATGCCCAGAAGTCTGTATTCTGCACAGACTTGCATACCCCTAACTGCGCTAAAGTTCAGAAGTTTGAGCTGCCACTGAAGTATTGACTGTGGAGAGGCGGGGTTTTCTGTCTCCAATGAGGTGCCTTTGGTGTCAGGAAAGCCTATCGTCTTTCGCAGGAGTGCTTGCTCTGTAATCCAAGCAATAGCCACGCAGCCGGTTTTATTGTTTGCGGAGTCCTGCGGCTCTTAACGAGCGCTTCACAGACGGGAAGGAGAGCAAGTGGGCGGTTTATGATTCTGCCCTGTGCTGGGGCGAGTGAGTTGAGCTCTTTGATTTCTCCCAAGTGACCGTGTGGGTGAACTGTAAACTGGGTGCCTGGCTTGACCCTGAATCTTTTTCTCTAGGGCGAGGAGTTCCTTCTTTCTGCAACCGACAGCTGGCTTTCTGCCCTGGTGGGGAAAGATGCCCAGGAGTGGAGTAGGATTACAGTTTGGGATGCTAGGGACACACCAAAGAGTCGGAGTGCCCTGGCTTTGTGTTTTGCAAAGTCCTGACAAGTGCTCCTGAAATGAACACCCTGTTTCATTTTTTAAATTATACTTTTATTTATTTATTATTTTTTGGCCGTGGATATCGCTGATCTAGAAACGGAGTCCACAATGTGGCTAGGGTAAAACATTTTTCTTTTCTTTCCTAATCCCTCCTTTTCCCTTTCTTTTTAATTGGGTGACACAGAAGCCGTCTTTTTGGATAATGCCGTGCCTGACTGTCAGCGTTGTCTAAGAGGGAAACAGCAGGCGTGTGGAGAGGACCTGGGCCAATGCAAAAAACCCAGCGTTTTGTTTGCTGGTCTGTTCTTTGTCTCTAGTTGATTTTGAAAAGAAGATGAAAAAGGAAAGCTCTTCAGGTTCCTTCAGACTCAAGCCGAATGCAGGTTCTCTCTCACGTGCTGTGAGTTGGATAAATTTCTCCTCCTTGTCCAGGCAGACAAAGAGGCTGTTTCGCAGTGATGGAGAGCTCTCGGTTTGTGGGCAGCAGGTGGAAGTGGATGACGAAAACTGGATATACAGAGTCCAGCCCAGAAAAGGTGACTCGATTTTTTAAAAATTTAAACATTTGAAAAAGTTTGTTATGTAGAATTCTTTGTTTCTATCACTCCCCCTTCATGATTTTTGCCCCCATTAGGAGTTTCTTTTGAAATGTTTGGTTTTGTATTGGAATTCAGCATCATTTGTTTACAAGTCTAAAATAAAAATGCTCTTCCAACTAGATTCAGCTTGAGCTTGTATCTTGTATCATTCAAAGACGGATAAAGTAGCTGTTATTTGTTCTCGGCAGCCTCCCTCCCTCCGTCAGAGCCACATGCTTATGTGACTTATGAAAAGTTCAATGATAAACCACCACCCCAGAGAGAATCTCCTGCCCTTATAGCAATCTGGGGGTAGAACGTGGAGCTCTTATAAAACTGCACTGAGAAAACTTCAGGAATCGTACATAGTCTTCTTGCACCCTTCTTCTAAGATTGATGAATTACATGAATGCTTGAATTAAGCTGGTGTTGGGCTATGACATCAAGGAAAATGAACACGCAAGGGGCTTAACTCTGATATGTTGGTCCCAAGGAGTTTTTGGATTTTTTTTTCTCCTTTCCTTCTTTTAACCAGAGTTTTAGTTTTCTATCAAGTTTCTTTTCAGATTGACGTTGACTCTGTTCTCAGGATTAACATGTTTTGCCTCCAAGATGAAAAACAAAAAATACCAGTCCTGCTGGGAGAGAGGGAAACAGGTCAATATTTCTTAACATACCCCTATTTTATATTTAGATTTTCTGAGTTCTTCCTCTTGGTGTGTGTAGACACTGAATTGTTAAGCTCTAAAATGGTTTCTGCATTCAGTGCAGTGGGTAAAGCCCAGTAGGGGAGTGCTATTTAAGTATCACAAAGGAACCAAGTCCAGACATTCCGCGTGATTGTGTTTTCCCTGTTTATCACATTCTTCCCCATGCCAAGAGAAACCTTGCTGGAGTCTTTCAGGGACCTGTGCCTCCCCCTGCTTTGGAAAGCAGAACTACTGAAACGTGAGAGAATCAACTAAGTTCAATATGTGCTTATGAGTATAGTAATTATATCGCACAGGCTGAGTGTTAATGCAGCCCTTCTTCAGGGTGAATGTGTGTAAACTATTTGTTCTTGTCTATTAAACTATGGCACAAGAGGGACTAGCTAATAATCTTTGAAAGTATCAGCTGTTTATTATATCAACAAGGTGATCAACAATGACCCACTGATTCTGAGCTTAAAAATGTGGGTTTTCAGTTCAAATGCTGTGTGATTGCCAGGCTTAGAAAAGGCATTTGTGCGTTCTGGCTGGAGTTGTATAGCTTAGTAAGTCTGTGAACTTTACTTTTCTAAATCAGGAATAAGCTGTGGTTTTGGTAAATGATTGGGTTGTAATGTTTGAAACAAAAATGTTTGAAGGGTGGATTCAGTAGTGCTGTGGTCGCGAGAGGGTATAGTTTTGATTCCTTTGGGCTTTGCCGAAGGTCGCTTTTTAGGACTTGTTTGACTTGAAGTCAACCACTGTCAAGTCTCTGTTAATGATTGTATACATGTGAGCATGAGGCTGTAGGATTTCTACTGTAGATGCTTCATCTGAATTAGCATTAAAGGAACAGAGACTGAATTTGCATGTATTAGTTTTAGTTGGGAAATAAAGCAAATACTGTACACGTGACTTGTGGAAAATAAAGAAGTCATTGTAAAGGACAGGGATGACTTGTGAAGGGAGGACTTGCTTACGTAGCAATACAAAAGATTGTGCCCTTTATCCCTTAATGGAATAGGGGATACAGTAGCTTCATGAAGATAAATGGAAGCACAATACATGGTATAAGTTTATATGTTTTTTTAAAAAATAATTGGGCATGAATAATATGATTTTTGACATATGGTGTCAGAGAGAATCCTTAAAAAGCTGCTTATACATCAAAATTCATGGCATTATATTCTGTTTTCACATTTGACTTACAAAAGAAAATTGGCTTCCAACTTTGACATCTTGTCTCAGGGGCATGTTATAACAGTTGATCTTTTTTCCACACAATTCCTTTCTTTGGAGAAATACAGAGTGACATTTGTTTATGTGAGCAGATCAAAAGAGAAAAAGTCTTCAAGAAAAATTATGCAGAGATGAAGTTTTTTCTCAGAAGCATCAAATAGGCTGAAACTCTAGCGAGGATTATCAGGCAATACTAAGAATGCCCAGTGGCCACGTTAGGATCTGGTTGCAAATAAATATGCACTGGGAGATACACTGGTCTGATGGGAATGTGTAACATCTTTTATATCTCTCTGCCCAGATCACGCACAGCCTAATCCACCTTCCTTTCAGTTTACTCCACAACCCCCCAACTTACATTAACAATTTTTGATTTATACAGATTGCCAAAAACCTGCTCTCCCTCCTTCCCGCTCTCTCTCTCTTTTCTCTCTCTCACACACACACACACACACCCCCACACACACCCACAACCATTATGCAGTGACAGCTCGAGGTAGGGCAACTGTAGCTTAACAAGCCAGTGAGCATCAGTGGTCCCCCTGTGGGATCTGTGGTTGGTGGAGGTCCGGTTCTGCAGCTCCTCCCCTCCAGCAGCTGCTGCCAGGCCGCACTGCTTGCCTGTTCCCTGCCCACTATCTCCAGGTATGCTTTGCACCATTAGCCTGCTGAGCTCCTACCATCAGTGTGTTGTATTAGACACATTCAATTTCTGAAACAGAAACTCTTTTAATAGGGAATTTCTATGCTGGATTGTTATCAGGAACATGAAAATTAAGTTTTGAAGTGGTTACCCTTATGGATATCTTTCAGTACAACAAACCAATAGCTTTATGATTTAATGTCAAGAAACTAAGGATAAAATTATAGTGCTTGAGATTCTTCTTTCTTTTGAGAATCTTTTTTAAGATTAGAAGCTACTAGTATGCATTTTCTAATTAGACTACTGTTCCTGAGCTTAAAAAGTAATTACAAGATACATATTGATAGGTCCAAAGCAGCCACCAGTAAGCATCTGTATGTTTTCTTTTGTATGTGTGTTTGACAGCACACTACAAGTTTCAAAATTCTCTTGAATCCCCATTTATACTCGGAGAGGTGAGAATGAATTTGGTAACAGCAATGATCAATTCTTGTATTCTTAGTATGATATGACCCACTGCAGTAGTAGATGAGGTTTTAACTTAATTAGCCATACAAATTAAGGGCGTGAATCAGTATCTTCTGTATAGTAAAAAAGTGGAATGCAGTGGTAGATGAGACAATATGTAACTTTTCACGTGACGTTGTGAGAGCATTTATTGGTGGAATCATTACTGAACACTATGTGCAGGGTACAAAGAAAGATAGCACTCAGGCCCTGAAGTCATGGAGTTCATGCTTAAATGGAGAAGCAGATAAGACATCTAAAGTGGGGGGTTAAAGAGAGAATGTAGGATAATTGTGAAAAAGTGCAACACGATGACCTAGATGAGAAGGTCCGGATAAGAGAAGGTCTGGATAAAAAAGGTCCAGATAAAGGAAGTTTATCCGGAACATTTTCATGTTTTCGTGGTCTTCTGACTGTTAGCATTTAACTGAACAAGATTTAATGAGTACCTGCTGCTTTTCTAGCACTGTGGAAGGTCCTTGAGGAAAACTAATGACTGGTAGTATTTATTCTGTGCTTCCCCTTTCTTGCTCACTCAAATAAAACTGAAAGAGGTGGAGTCATAATGGGGTGTCTGTCCTCTCATTGAGCAGAGCTTGTTTTGTTGTATCCCCAGCTCTCCATTTAGCTGGGCAGAAGCGTGATTGATGATCCTGGTATTGACAGGTCAGCAGATAGAGAGGGCAATTGACATGCAAAGCCTTGCTTCAAACAATGTTTTATCCTTTCCTTCTGGACTTTATCATACAGACTAGTAATGTTACCAGCTCGGAATCATTTGAATGTCAGTGCCTTCCCTTCTCAGCCACTACAAAAATGGCCAGAGAATGGCCATACTAGGTATCAAGGGTAATGAATAATCCATATACTAGATAATAATCAATTTTTGAGTGCGGGAGTTGGATCTATTAAAGTAATTTCATCCCAATTTTTCTCCTAATAAAATAGTTGCAGAAAGCAGGATCCTTGTACATAATTAGATTACTAATGTCCAGATATTACAGTGGAGAAAAATGACATGAAAGACCAAAAGCAGCTAGGTCAAAAGTCAAGATCTTGTTTCCATGTAAATAGCTGTGGTTTATTTCGGATAATAAATTCCTTAAAATGGTGGGATTTAGGAATAGCTTCCTGGGCCAGGTGTGGTGGCTCATGCCTGTTATCCTAACACTTTGGGAGGCCGAAGTGGGCATATCACTTGAGCCCAGGAGTTCAAGACCAGCCTGGGGAACACGACAAAACCTTGTCTCTACCAAAAATAGAAAAAGTAGTCAAGCGTGGTGGTGTGCGCCTGTAGTCCCAGCTACTCAGGAGGCTGAGGTGGGAGGATCGCTTGAGCCCGGGAGGTTGAGTCTGCAATGAGCCAAGATCACACCACAGCACTCCAACCTGGGTAACAGAGCAAGACTAGGTCTCAAAACCAAACAAACATAAAGACTGGGTCTCAAACCAAAAAAAAAAAAAAAACCTCCATAAAAAATATCTTCTTTATGGCATTAAGAAAACCTAAGAAATATTGAAAAATATTGTTAAGTAGCATCACAAATTTAAGAGTGAAACAGGATCAGTAAGTTTTATTTATTCCGAGGGTTACTACATATATCGGAAAAATAGCCAAAGGAAGTTTTACCGTGGTGTGTTAACAAAAGAGATCAGTGAATGTCATGGTATTCTTCTTACTTCCTACTGAAGTTGACATTCTGTGAAAGAGACACACAGTGAGTGCCACTTAATATTTTATCTGGTTTGTTGAGACTGCCCTTTATTGACCTTTGATGATGATTATTTTTTTTTCCTGAAGTTGGTACTCTGTTGTCTCACTGCCTTATTTTGTTGTAAAATGTCTTTATTTGCAAATTAAATTGTTGAAGTTCGATTTA